ACACAACTTTATTATCACTGTACAGAAACATTTAAACAAAAAACATTGATTGATTATCCATCATTGTCAAACAGCTTTTTTTAGAAGTTAAAAACACACATAATGTCCTCACAGTGGAGGTCGTACACTGACACTGGTCCTCACAGAGATAGCAGACACACACAGTGACAGTTTGTTCTGTTTCAGTTTCCTCCATCCTACGCAGGGATCTCTGAGGTGAACCAACCTGCTGAGCTGCTGCCTCAGTTCTCCACCATCGAGTACGTGGTCCAGGTAAGACTGACAGACAGGGACAGACAGGTTCAGACAGACCTTATTGTCAGGTGTGTAACCCGATGTGGTCTTTGTCCTCAGCGGGGTCCTCAGATGCCACTGGTCTTCCTGTATGTGGTGGACACCTGTATGGAGGACGAGGACCTGCAGGCTCTGAAGGAGTCCCTGCAGATGTCCCTGTCTCTGCTGCCTCCCACCGCACTAGTCGGACTCATTACCTTCGGCCGGATGGTTCAGGTCCACGAGCTCGGCTGTGAGGGTATCTCCAAGAGCTACGTCTTCAGGGGGACCAAGGACCTCAATGCCAAGCAGCTACAGGTAACTATTCCTGCAGGAAGCTAGTTCACTAACATAACAACTAGTCCATCACCCAGACCATCCATTTTCCTTATCTGGGTCTGGGTTTGTAGTATCCCACACACACTAGCTCCTCCTGGAGAATTCTGATATCCTGATGTGTTCACAGGCCTAATGGGACGTGTAACCCGTCCAGTGTGATGTGGGTTCGCCCCACAGTCTCCTCCCAGGTGGATGTGTCCTGATTACAGCCACCTCAGCAATAGAGTCTTTAAAGATGTCCCACAATGTGTGGTCTGCAAAACCTCAAGGGCACCTCTTACCCCCTTTCCACCAACATGAACCTAGTGCTAGTGCCACCAAGATTTTGAACCGACAACCTCTCTTACTTTTTCGGCCACCACCAGTGTAAGCTAACAGCGCTAACTAACACTGTAACTTTTACTAATTGTATGAATCATTTGTGACTTTTCAGGAGATGCTCGGTCTCACCAAACCTTCAGCCACTCAGGCACGAGGTCCTCAAACTACCCCACAGCCTCTGTCCAACAGGTAAACACACACGTTTGAGTCAGGTACATCTTCACAGTGCAGGCACGTCCTCGCAGTGCAGGTACATCTTCACAGTGCAGGCACATCCTCGCAGTGCAGGCACGTCCTCGCAGTGGAGGTACGTCCTCGCAGTGCAGGCACGTCCTAACAGTAAGTGTATAATTTTGTCCCTCAGAGTCTGAAGTGTGTTTTGTCTCTTCAGGTTCCTGCAGCCGGTGCAGAAGATCGACATGAACCTGACTGACCTGTTGGGGGAGCTGCAGCGCGACCCCTGGCCCGTCACGCAGGGAAAGAGGCCGCTGCGCTCCCTGGGTGTCGCCATGTCCATCGCCGTGGGGCTGCTGGAGGTGAGAGGGGTCGAGGTTTTAAACCAATTCAGTTTTATTTATATAGTGCCAAAAATAGTCAAATCTGAGGACACTTTTCAAAAGCAGGTCTAGACCGAACTCCTTATAATTCTGTGTTCAGCTTCCAGCACTGTGTGGGTGTCACACACAATCTGTGCTTTTACTCACAGTGCACCTTCCCCAACACTGGCGCTCGGATCATGACGTTCATCGGGGGCCCGGCAACGCAGGGCCCCGGGATGGTGGTTGGAGACGAACTGAAGATCCCCATCAGGTCCTGGCACGACCTCGAGAAGGACAACGCCAAGTTCATGAAGAAAGCCACGAAGCACTATGAGTCTCTAGCTAACAGAGCGTCCACTAACGGTCACATCATCGACATCTACGCCTGTGCTCTGGATCAGACCGGCCTCCTGGAGATGAAGTGCTGCGCCAACTACACCGGGTACACACACACACACACACACACACACACACACAGATGTTGAGGATAAAATCAATACATGTATAGAATCATTCAACCCACCGAACGGTTGGGTGCAGTGTCAGCTGTCACTCACACACCTCCACTCATAAATACATCCATTCATTCACTTTCTTTTAAAGGGCGACACTGAAATCCAACATAGTGCAGTGCTACTGTATCGTCCTGTCTGAGCTTTTTGCCGTCTGTCTTCTTTGTTTCCTGTTATAGTCCTTGAATCAATTCTTCAGAATTGTAGTATTTCTTTCTGCAGCAGCCGCACATAAACCCAGACAGAACCTTTAGTTTCTTTATTCTTTTATGCACCAAAGCGACTGTTAAGCTTAAAGTGAAGATGATTTAGTGTTGGGGATTAACTGGAGTGGCACTGACCCCCCCCCACCCATCCACCCTGTACTGTGAGCGGTCTGGTAAAAGGAAGACCAGATCCACAGAGACCCTTTCTGACGTGCTGTGTTGGTATTTTCTGGTCTCTGCAGAGGTTACATGGTGATGGCAGACTCCTTCAACACATCTCTGTTCAAACAAACCTTCCAGAGAGTTTTCACCAAAGAAGTCCAGGGATCCTTCAAGATGGCCTTCGCCGCCACGCTGGAGGTCAAGGTACCAACTGCAGCTGACATCAGTTGAGAAATGTCACAGATGTGTTTGTCCACCAGAGGGCGCTGACGCACTGTTCAACAAACATTCTGAGGGATTTTTATCAAGCATGAAAAATCTCTATCAACCTCTTAAATATCAATGTTGGTCTCAACTTCCAGCCACAGACAGACAGACTGTGTCTCAGGTGAATAGACTCACTGTTGTGTGTGTTTTTGTTCCAGACGTCCAGAGAGATCAAAGTATCGGGAGCGATCGGACCCTGTGTGTCTCTGAGCGCCAAAGGACCCTGTGTCTCTGAGAACGTATGTAACAGCTGACCTTTGACCTTCAGCAGGTCTGATATCTGTGGAAATACTGCACACTACACATACTATACAGTATTTATGTATATGTCTTATATAATATATACTATATGTATACAGTACATCTGTATATAATCTGTATACAACTGAGAGCTCTAATTTAAATAACAGATACAGTACAGTACTCTGTATTATACTGCAGTACTCTGTATTATACTATAGTACTCTGTATTATACTGCAGTACTCTGTATTATACTGCAGTACTCTGTATTATACTATAGTACTCTGTATTATACTATAGTA